AGGGAGGGAGGGAAGGAAAGAGAAGGAAAGAGAGAGGCCAGGCGCGGTGGTTCACGCCTGTAATCCCAGCACTCTGGGAGGCCGAGGCGGGCGGATCACAAGGTCAGGATATCGAGACCATCCTGGCTAACACGGTGAAACCCCGTCTCTACGAAAAATACAAAAAATTAGCGGGGAGTGGTGGTGGGCGCTTGTAGTCCCAGCTACTCCGGAGGCTGAGGCAGGAGAATGGTGTGAACCCAGGAGGTGGAGCTTGCAGTGAGCCAAGATCGTGCCACTGCACTCCAGCCTGGGCAACAGAGCGAGACTCTGTCTCAAAAAAAAAAAGAAAGAAAGTGAGAGAGAAAGAAAGGAGAGAGAAAGAAAAGAAAGAGAGAAAGGGGGGGAAGGAAGGAAGGGAAAAAGAAAGAGAGAAAAGAAATGAATGCAAAACATATTCTTGCTATGTGATACGGTGGATGCAGAAGTGGATTGTAACTGGGCCCTGCCCTCCAGGTGGGAACACAGCCAGTTGGAAAGATCGGGGCAGTAAAATCCAGAGACTGTGGGAACCTAGAATGAGGAACAATGTCAGCCAAAGGTTGAGGCTGCAGCCTGCACTCCAGCCTGGGCGACAGACTGAGACCCTGTCTCAAAAATGAAATAAAACAAAACAATCAGGGAGCATTTGGATCTGGGAAAATAAAAGGAGCTAGAAGAGCATTTTGGGCAGAGGAAACGGCTTGGCACAAATGCATGAAAGTTGAAAAGTACAAGAAGTCTGGGGGACAAACTCCAGCCAGGGAGGAAGAGGATGTGGTGGTGGGATGGTGGGAAGAATGTGGTGGGAGAGGATAGTGGGAAGGCCAGCTCGTCCAGCTCACGGGGGGTTTGGTCAACCTGGGGATATGGGGAACCTCAGAAGGACTGAAAGGATGGAGTAGGAACTAGGAATCATCCCTCAGGGAGGTGGGTTAGAGAGGTGGAGAGCAGCTCCCTCGGGAGTCCTCCAAGCAGTGAGGGTGAGACCTAAGCTGGGGCCTGGGTGGTAGGGCTGAAAAATAGATGGACTAGACAGAGAAGATAAGGAAGCAGAAAGGATAGGACATGGTGGCTGATGGGCTTGGAGGTGAGAGATAGGGAAGTGTGCAGGGCAAAGTCCAGGACTCTGGCCTGGTGACCAAAGGGACAGCAAGACAAACAGTGTGGAGAAGGGAGTTGCTGAGGTCAGCTTTGGATATGGTGAATGAGAAGCAGCCAGACTCCTGGGTCAGAGGGAGGAGGGGCTGGGCCTGGATTCCTGGATCTAAGGAAGGAGGAGCTGGGGTCTGGACTCCTGGGTTTGAGGGAGGAGGAGCTGGGGGCCTGGACTCCTGGGACAGAGGGAGGAGGGGCTGCAACTGAGATTTCTGGATCTGGGTGAGAAAGGAGTACCTAGTAGCCAGTACCCTAGGAAGAAGGGTACATTTCTCTCTTTGGAGAGAAGGCCTGGGAAAAATACGTGATCTTTGAGGATAAATGAGGGCCCAGGACCCAGCCTCAGAAAATTCCAACATGCACAACACTTGCAAATAAAAAACTGACAAAATCATAAGTCACCATTTGCCAACCTATAATGGTAACCAACCCAAGTAATGACCGCTGATGATGTTACAATCTTCAAATAGAAGTTTTTTTTTTTTTGAGATGGAGTTTTGCTCTTGTTGCCCAGGCTGGAGGGCAGTGGTGTGATCTCGGCTCCTGGGAGCTGCAACCTCCACCTCACAGGTTCAAGCGATTCTCCTGCCTCAGCCTCCCAAATAGCTGGGATTACAGGTGCCTACCACCACACCTGGCTAATTTTTTGTATTTTTAGTAGAGATGGGGTTTCATCATGTTGGTCAGGATGGCCTTGAACTGCAGTGGCTCATGCCTGTAATCCCAGCACTTTGGGAGGCCAAGGCAGGCAGATCACCTGAGGTCAAGAGTTCAAGACCAGCCTGACCAACATGGAGAAACCCCATCTCTACTAAAAATACAAAATTAGCCAGACATGGTGGCGCATGCCTGTAATCCCAGCTACTGGGGAGGCTGAGGCAGGGGAATCGCTTGAACCTGGGAGGCGGCGGTTGCGATGAGCCAAGATCACGCCATTGTACTCCAGCCTGGGTGACAAGAGCGAAACTCTATCTCACGAAAAAAAAAAGAGAGAGAGACCAGGGTGACCTCATGAGGTCTGGACAACCAGAGATGAGGTTCCTGACACCGGCTCAGGAAGCACTAAAGCACTTCTGAATATGATCAAACTTCTCCCTCTAACCAACACTTGCTTGCAGAAACAGAGGCATCAAGGGCACCACAGGCATGCAATTGGCCATGCTCTGCCTGTGGGACAGAAGACTGGGTTTTTCTAATAAACAGTATGGGGAAGACACAGTGGGTGGGAACCACCAGAGATAAAACAACAGGGAAGACATATCAACCAATCACACTGACCTTTGGGGACTTCATTCAAACAAGCTACCTGTTAACTGGCATTTTGAGACTCTGGGAAACACAAAAACTAACCAGAAATAAGACAATACTAAGAACTTATTAGTTTTTTGTTGTTGTTGTTGTTTTTTTTGGAGACACGGTCTTGCTCTGTCATCCAGGTTGGAGTGCAGTGTTGTGATCACAGCTCACTGCGGCCTCTACCTTCTGGGCTCAATTGATCCTCCCACCTCACTCTTCTGAGTCTGAGGCCACAGGCACATGCCACCATGCCTGGTTAATTGTATTTTTATTTTTCACAGAAACAGTGTCTCATTATGTTGCCAGGCTGGTCTCACAGTCTTGGGCTCAAGCGATCCTCCCACCGTGCCCCGCCATCCCCCAAGTACTGGGATTACAGGTGTGAGCCACCTTGCCTAGCCAAAAAGGATTTCTTATCTGTCACTGATACACTGTAAACATATGTACAGGCTACATGATGTCTGGAATTGGCTTTTAAAACTGGGGATGGAAACAAATGGGAGATAATGAAAGGAGAATGTAAGAATATTAATCATTGCTGAAGCTGGTGGGCACAGGACATGGGAGCTGCCTGACTATTGTGGGTTTGGAAGTTTTCTTTTTCTTTCTTTTTTTTTTTTTTTTGGAGACGGAGTCTCGTTCTTGTTGCCCAGGCTGCTGGAGTGCAATGGTGCAATTTTGGCTCACTGCAATCTCCATCTCCCGGATTCAAGCGATTCTTCTGCCTCAGCCTCCCAAGTAGCTGGGACTACAGGCACCCGCCACCACGCCCTGCTAATTTTTGTATTTTTAAGCAGAGACGGGGTTTCGCCATGTTGCCCAGGCTGGTCTCGAACTCCTGAACTCAGGCAATCAGCCCGCCTTGGCCTCCCAAAGTGCTATGATTACAGGCGTGAGCCTCCGCTTCCGGCCGGTTTGGAATTTTTCACACACCCACATTTAAATAGCAAACGGACAGGGGACGAAGGAAGAGCCCCAAAAATCACGCCCAGGGAGGGAGGAGGAAAACCAGGAGGGGCATCTGCCCCTCACTCTCTCGGAAGCCCAAATGTCTTCCTTTGAGGAATGGGGACAACCCCGGGGCGCAGGTGGCTAGGAGTACACCAACATCCATGGACCAGGAAGGACGCTGCTGCTGAAGACCCTGTGAGCCAAACAGACCTGTTCCCGCTGCTGGCGGCCGCGCTGCTCCGAGGCCGCCTGCTGCCCCAGCAGCTCCCGCAGCTGCTCCTCCTCCCGGCGAGCGGCCACTCGCTCCCCAGCCAGCTCACCCCGCAGCAAGGCCACTTCCACCTCCATCTGCGAAGAGAATGCCAGGGCTGGGGGCTCGGACGCCTAGGTCCAAGGAAGAGGCCCAGGGCCTTAACTACCGGATTCGAAGGAAGGATGGACTCCAGGGACCTGAACTTGGAGGGAGGAAGAGCGGAGGGCCCAGAATCTGATCCCACCGGAGGAAAAGGCTGGGAGTCCGGCTTTGCGGGTTCCCCTTGAGTTGGGGCCAGGCTTCCCAAAGGGTCCGCAGCCTCACCTCGATCCTCAGCTCCTTCCTCTGGCGCTGTAGCTCCTTCACTCGCTGCTCCATCAGGGCCACGCGAGTCAATGCCTCCAGTTGCTGTCCTCGCAGGCGCCGCGCCGCCCCTCGCACCCCTCCCCCCGAAGAGGTGGATGAGGCGGGTGTGGACGCAGTAGCTGTCGGAGGCGTAGCCTCGGGCTAAAGTTGAGGGGGCGTGGTTAAGTGGAGATGCCTCGCCCCCTGCAATCACTAAGTAGGTCTGGTCCCCACCCAACATCCCCTTCTGCGGGTCTCAGTCCACTTACCTAACACAACCACCACTCCCACAATCTGTCGCAGGCTCTTTTCTTTCTTTCTTTTCTTTTCTTTTTTTTTTTTTTTTGTCCTGAGATAGGGTCTCACTGGCTGGAGTGCAGTGGCGCGATTACGGCTCACTGCAGCATCGACCTCCCGGGCTCAAGGGATCCTTCTGCCTCAGCCTCCTAGGTAGCTGTGACTACAGGCGCGCACTACCACCCCAAGCTCTTTTATTTATTTATTTATTTATTTTTATTTTTTGGTAGAGAGGGGGTCATGCTATGTTGCCCAGGCTGGTCTCGAACTCCTAGGTTCAAGCGATTCTCCCACCTCGGCCTCCCAAAGTGCTACGACTACAGGCGTGAGCCACCGCGCCCGGCCTCAGCCTCCTGTATTCAAGGTCGGAGTGGGGGAGGGTGCAAGTCCAGTGACCACCCAACCACACGGACCACAGAGGCTTGCAGTAGTACCCTATGGAGGGTGGGCGGATGTAAAGCCGACTTATGAAAGGTGTTTCTTTTTCTCTATCCAGGTCCTATTCTCTTGGCGTCACTTTCTCGTAGTGCCTGGATCTATCTCTCTCTCTCTCTCCACCCGACCCCAGTCTCTCAGATTCGGTATCTGTCCACTGCCTCTGAATCACTAGATCTTTCTCCCTCGGAGTATGTCCCTCTCTCGAGGTTTTTCTCTATTTGTTTCTCTGAGCATCTCTGCCGTTTATTTCTGGGTTTCCCTCTGTCTCGATTCCCCTCTCTCTGACTCTCTGTCTCTAGTCTCACTGTGTCTCTGTCTTTTTTGGGTCTTTGTCTCTCAGTCTCCGTGTCTCTGGGTCTCTGTCCGGTTCTTGATCTCTCTGCATCTCTTACTCATTTGGTTCTCTCTGTTCAGTAGTCTCTCCTGGCTCTGGATCCCTCTGTCTCTGAGTCTGTGTCTATCTGGTCTCTCTCTCTCTCTCTCTTTCTCTCTCTTTCTTTGTCTCTCTTTCTTTCTTTCTCTCTCTCTGTTTCTCTCTCTCTCTCTCTCTCTCTCTCTCTTTCTCTCTCATGTTTAGAGATAAGTTCTGCTCTGTCCCAGGCTGGGGTGCAGTGGCGCAATCATAGTTCACCGCAGCCTACAACTCCTGGGTTCAAGCGATCCTCCTGCCTCAGCCTCCCGAGCAAGTGGGATTACAGGCACGCGGCACCGCGCTTGGACAATTTCCTATTTTTTTCTAGAGACGGGGATTTGCTATGTTCCCCAGACTTGTCTCGAACTCCTGGGCTTAAGCGATCCTCCCCTTGGCCTCCCCAAGTGCTGGGATTACAGGCGTGAGCCACCTATCTGGTTCCTCCATACCCGTCTCTCTGTCTCTGTCGCCCGTTTGGGTCTTGTCTCCGTTCTTGGGGCCTCCCCGTGGCTCTGTCTATCTGGTTATGTATCTGGTTTCTGTCTGTCTGTGTCTCTGCCTCTCTGGCTGCGTGTCCTGGTGTCTGTCTCTCAGTCGTCTCTGTTATCACTGGGTCTCTCTCCCTGTCTCCGGGTCTGTGTCTTTCTGGTTTTCCTCTACCTGTCTACCTGTCCGGCCACCTGCTTGAGTCCCCGTCGGTCCAGGCCCCCCGCGCTGATGCCCTCGGGCCCCTCACCGCGTCGCGGCTGCTCTCAGTGCTGCTGCCTTCTCCCACTTCTTCTTCTTCCTCCCCCTGCTTCTCAGCTCCTCCGCGGCTCGAAGGTTCCTCCAGTACCTTGGGAGCCTCCTGTTCCCGGGACTCCTCGGGATAGCCCTGGGGCTGGACCTCCACGTCGCATTCCGGGACCGGCGGCGGCGGGGTCCCTTCGGCGGGGCTGCTCCGCGTCCCCATGGCCGCTCGGGCTCCTGCGGGGTGGGCGGGACCAGGCGCTCCGGGGGCGGGGCCTAGGAGGGCTGAGCGCCGCTCGCGTCTGCTCCGGGGCGCGGAGACCCCCCCAGGAGGCGGGGCCTAAGAGTTCAAAGGATTGAACTGAGCGTTACGGAGGCGTGTCCTTAAGTTTCCAGAGGCGGGGCTCGATGGTTCCAAAGCGACACGCCCCCGGAGACGGGACCGGAATTTGAGTCCGGGTCGCAGCTCGCCCCCTACTGGCCTCTTCGACCCCGCCTCCCCTCCTTCATCTCCAAGTGTCAGGCCTGGTACCCTCCCAGCGGCCCCCCACAATCCCTTGGACTCGCGTAGAGCGACCCATCTTCTCCCTCCGAGACTCAGCAGTTCGGCTCCCGCCCCGTCCTTCCCAGAGCCCCGTAGTCTTAGTCCTGACCCCACTGTGCAGGGCAACAGCGCCCATGCCGCCTCACCCAGGGGTCCAGGAGTCGGGGCTCCCAGGATGCCCTTCTCTCAACAAGCCAGGAGTCGGAGTCCTTGAGATTCCGAAGTCCAACCGCCACCTCCCCACAGCCTCGGCCCCCTCACCAGCTCAGGCTTCGGCGCGCTCCGCTCTGCGCGCTGGGCACAGCCGCTTCTGCCTATGAGACAGGTGGCAGGGGAAGAGGGAGGAGAGAGGCCGCCCCGTCCCCCTCCCCAGCAGCCCGGAAGTGGAGGGGGGGACAACAGGTCCAACAGCTCCCGAGGGAGGAGGGAGCCACGGGCTTGCCCCACCCGCGGCTTCGGCATCCGGCCATCCCGGCCCCACCGGCCCCACCCTCGTGGAACTCAGCATCTCGACCTCCCAGTCTCCCTCGATCCCCTCATTCCTGCTCCACTGGAGGAGTCTTGGCCACTGCTGTATGGGCACCTCTCTAATGTCCAGACCCTGGGAGTTCAGAAAGGAAGGCAGGAATGGAGATGGGGACGTCTCCCCTCTAATGAGCCCTTCAGAAGGGCCCTGACCGGTTTGGGGAGCTGGACAAGGGGAAGGGGTGCCCTGAACTGAGTCAGAGACCTGCCAAGAGACTGAGGGAAGTGTACCGCCACCCCCCAACACTTTGCTACGGGGTGGAGGGCGGAGGTTAAAGGTCTCAGCCAGACCCTTTCCTCTCTGGGCAAAAACAGGAAAATAACTGGTATATGAAAAGGGATGATTAGAAGTCAAGAGCTGTGCTAAACACTTTATACCCGGTCATTTAATTTCACCCTCAAAGCTGCCCAGTGAGAAAGTCATTACTACCTCCATTTCTTTTTTTTAGTAGACACTGGGTTTCTCCAGGTTGCCCAGACTGTTCTTGAACTCCTCGGCTCAAGCAACCTGCCTGCCTC